TTCAAAATTTTTCTCATATTTCTCATTCATTATTTAAAATGGGTATTGATATTACTACACATACATTGGGCATTGTATTTATGGTGAACTGCAAAATCTGCAGGTCATACAACCCCTTTCAAAACAGAAGGCAATTATACTGATCTAAAGAAGGAGGGCAGCTCCAATTCCTTAGATTAAGAGCCCTTCAGAAGCATCCAGAAACCCTTGAAGGGTAAACATCTCAAACAAGATTCCTGGATGCCAGTGAGGGATTCATGATGAGAGGAATTATAAATGAATACATAAATAAATACTTTATTTCCACATGAAAAAAAGCATAGTTTTTACAAAACTGGATAACATTTAACAGTACAGTGGACCCCCACCTTACGAATTTATTCATTCCAGAGGTATGTTCAGGTGCCATTACTGAATGAATTTGTTCCCATAAGGAATATTGTGAATTCGATTAGTCCATTTCAGACCCCCAAACATACACGTACAAATGCACTTACATACATACACTTACATAATTGGTCGCATTGGGAGCTGATCGTAAAGCGGGGGTCCACTGTACTGTATATATGGTTATGCAGGCAACTTAAAACCTAAGATTAATAGAATATAAAAGAGCATAACACAGGAGGGCCCCTTTTTACAGCGTTTTGTTAATGCAGTGGTTTTCACTTATACTCATTCTTCATTTATTCAGACTTCCTACAGTAAATATATTCGCCACTCGCCACTCATTGCTTCAGAGGAGGAGGATAAGACAGGTGAAAAGTATTACCCTAACAAAGCTGTTGCAAGCCATGTCTGCAACATGTTCAATGACAATGCCTTGTCCCATTTTAGGCAAATCTTAAAGAGATGCCAGAAACAGACCTCTCTGGACAGTCACTGGACAGGGGTCCAGTGACTCTCAAGCTGGTCAGAGTGCCAGTAAAAGACAAAGAAGGGAAGTAACCCCAGATAGGGACTTGATACCTGAAGTCCTTATGGAAGGGGATTCTCCTTCCAAACAATAGCCTCTCCTTCCCCTCCCCTCCTTGCCATCTGCCATACACCAACAAGAGTCTTCAATAAAGGCAAAAGTTATGTTAAATGTTCATTTATCCATTTCATTATTCCTTTATATTTATTTCTCATTGTTTTCTGTATGTAAAACTACATATAGTTATTCTCTACAAAATGTATTTTTTGTTAATACTTTTGGGTGTCTGGATTGGATTAACTGGATTTACATTATTTCTTATGGGAAATATTCCTTCAGTTTTCGTCGAATTCGGTTTTCGTCAGACTTTCTGGAACGAATTAAAGACGAAAACCAAGGTTCCACTGTATATGTATATACCTAAAACATTAACACATAATTTATACTTACTGTAGTGGAGGGAAGGTGGGGTAGGGTCACCCCAGGAAAGGTTGGAGGACAGGTGAAGAAAGTTTTGTGTGCAAGGGGACTGGACATCCAGCAGCATGTGTAAATTGCGTTAGATAAGACTGAGTGGAGGCAAATGGTTTTTGGGACTTGACGAGCTGTTGTAGTGTGAACAAGGTAACATTTCAAGAACGGATTCAGGGAAACTGGTTAGCTGGACTAGAGTCCTGGAGGTGGGACATTCAGTGACTGTACTCTGAAGAAAGGATGGGATATTTGCAGTTCCGGAAGGGCACCTGAACTGTAGTATCTACATGTCCTCTGCAAGACAGTGACAAAGAAAATGATGGTGAAAGTGTCTTTTTTCAGTTAACTCTTCCTTGTGGAAATGGTCTGTGTGATAAAAAAAATATAATAATAATAATAAAAATAAGTCCTAGGTAGTAGGTTGGTAGACAGCGACTGCCCAGGGAGGTACTACTGTCCTGCCAAGTGAGTGTAAAATGGAAGCCTGTAATTGTTTTACATGATGTAGGATTGCTGGTGTCTTTTTTTTTGTCTCATACACATGCAAATTTCAGGTACTCTTGCTACTTCTATTTACACTTAGGCACACTCACATACAGTCAAAAAATTTTAAACAACCCTCGGGGTTTTTTTCTATTTTTTTTCGGGTTTTTTGTTCTTGTTTTTTTCCCTTTTCTTCCATGGGAAAGTGGAACAGAATTCTTCCTCCGTAATCATACGTGTTGAAAAAAGGGAACTAAAATCCCGGGGCAAGGGGGTAGTAACCCCTTCTCCTGTATACACAGGGCCCCGCTTTACAGCGGTTCGCTTAAAACGCGTTCCGCAATACACTTTCAAATTATGCCAAAACCGCTATAAAAAGGGCCCCCCCCCCCTTTTTTCAATAAGGGCACAGCTGCCCCCGATTTTTTTTTTCTCCCTGAGCACATCTCCCTTATTATGTCCGGAAACTTTTCCAAAATTTCAAGTGTTTTAAAGTTATTTTATATTTTAAAATTATTGTACTTTATAATAAAATTGTGTACACTGTACCTAAATAAACTTACACACGTGCTGGCATGTAGGACACATTAAAACACAATCTCACTCTTATGCAAAAAAAGATAAAAATAAAATAATAATAATAATAATAATAAATAAAATCTTGGGTGCATTAATGTCGCATATTTTCGTTTAAAAAAAAAGACATTTCCCTTAATTATTATATTTTTTTTTAAAAAATTAATAAAAACAAAATTATGTAACACCAAACATGATCAGCACCCACATTAAAAAAATTTATACAAATATTTTGAGATGTTTACCAAACGGTTGTAGAAGTGTGGGAAAGAATTACTTTTTTTAGCCCGTACCTTTTTACTAGGGATAACTGTAGAAAAAATATTCCCTTTCGTATGCCTTCACTTTAATAGCTAAAATTTCGTACAAAATTGTACACATTTAAGATATTTTTCGTGATTTAAATATAAAAAATAAAAAATTTATGGGGTAAAATTTTCACAAACCCTTAAAAATTACAAAATAACTAAAACTGAACGATTAAACCGCATTTCGCCTGACCGAGTGATCGCCCAAAAACCTGTTCAGTTTGTTTGTTTACCTGTCTAGCTCGGGTACATTAAATTTGTATTTTACTTAATATCACATTTTTCATTAATCCACCGTATATTTTTTTTCAAAATTTAATATAAAAACCCCAAAAACATAACAAAAATACATAAAAACATATGTGTAAGAACCTGGGATAACCCAAAAAATCAGAGTGACTTACTTTCCATTGCCTTCACTCAGAGCATCATTTCTCAAAAATGATTCATAGAAGGGATGTTCTCTTTATTTTTTCTCCCCTAAAAATGTAGAACAACCTGTACACAATGTAACTTGTACAAAACCCAACGTGTAAAACTGTTTAAAAAAACTTACCTTCGCCGGGTTTTGTTTACATAACTCGGGCCCGTCCCTCTCAGGCACCACTTTCTCTTTTGGGGGTAGCCGGGGCTGACTACCATACATACCCCCTTTGATTTTTTAAAAATAAATACTCTCATCCACCCAATTTTTTAAGGGTAAGTAAGATGAACTGTAATACTTTTTAAAATCGCCCTGGGACTTAAATATCAAATGATTGTGGGGGGGTGGCCGGGGTAGGGGACCGGCTGCTCCCATACAACCACACTTGTTTCTTTCAATAAATCTACTTTTCCACCCTAATTAAGATAAAAATATTTTAAGGGAAATAATGAGTGCACTAGTGTATTTACTTTTTTATTTTTTTTTTTGCCTGGTTCTAAGCTAACAAAAATATGTTTTTTGTAAAACGTTACTAGTGTTGTTCATTTGAATGAAAAAAGGGTGTTCCACTTTAAAAGGCGTTTCCGCTTTTCGGGGTACCTGGAACCTAACCCCCGAAATGGGGGCCCCCCTGTAATTAAAAGTAAAAGAAAACTTTTGTTTTTCTTTTGGGGCCCTCCGCCCCCAGTGGGATAAAGGCCCGTGTGAAAAAAAAGAAAAAAAGAAAGAAAAAAATAAGTGAAGGAAAAAAAGGGTTTTAAAGGTAAGAATAGATGGCTTAAAAGGGAAAAAAATTTACTGAAAAAAATGGTAAGTCACAGCTGAAAGCAAATTGTGCTGGTAAAAACAAATTTTACAGAGAGGGAAACTTCACAGAAAAAAAATTACAAAAGTGCAAACCCATGTGGGGCCTTCAACACTGGTGATAACAGACCATTGCCAATCAATTTTTAATTTCCCCCTATCAAGGAAGGGGGGGCAGTAAGCTTCAGGTTTATAAAAAGGCACCAAAATGAAAATGGTGGTTTTTTGGGAATGGGATCCCATAAATTTTCCCTCAGAAATACAATCAACTTTTCATACATTTTAAAAAAAGCATATGGTAACTTTTTTAAAGGCCTTTTTGTGAAAAAAGCTCTTGACTAAAGACTATAAGTTTTCCTTTCCCTTCCTTTGGGCTGAATATTGCTTCCCATTTACCCTTGGGACGATAATTTCCCTTATGGGTTTACAA